CAGAGTGTTGTTCAGCATGGGGGTGAGTAGAAAATGAAGGCTAATCATGTTTTGGGTGTACTATTCCTTTAAAATGAGCAGGTTAATGAGATAGTTTGCCAATGGAATGAAAGATAATTCAATAGTATGCACTTGAAATAAGACAATAATATTGTTTTCTTATTCTAAATCTAAATTGTCTTGTTCGATTGGCAAAATGTCTCTTTTTTCTCCTCAATTCAAGAACAAATGCACTTATTTGAAGAAAAAAAGATTTTTTTTCCCATTGTGTTTCATTAAAATCTATTTTAGTCTATTTTTTATTCTACTGTCAAACTCTTAGATTTAAATTGAAACATTATTATTCTTTTCTTTCTACATTATTTTATTGAATTTTGTTATTTTTAACAAGATAATAAACAGCGTTGATCATCATTTCGCCTTTGTTGCTCTTCAGGAGTCAATGTTAATATTTGTATCAGATTCTGGGTCTGGATCAAGTTACTGATCATTTCTAATGCAGCAATAAGTCTGGTAAATGATTACATCACTAACTTCTATAAAGCTCTGCTTCTAGTCTCAACATAAATCTTTGTTCTGCTGCCAGAGCCATTTTGGAGGAACTGATTTTCTTCAGTGTAGAGCTGAACCCTTTTAGACTCCAGATGGTAAAGAATGGTTTCCAACAATAGCATTAAAGCAGGTTGCTGGGATTTAAAACCAAACATTTGTTCAATTTTCCCTTCATCTTTGAACAAAAACCTGAAGGTCTGTTTCGTCGCTTTGCAGTAAAAACATCCTGTCTTTTGAAGGCAGAGGTGGAACCAGCATGGAAACGTTTTTGAAAGATTTAAAAGTTGGATTTTACTGCGATGCTGAGAAAAAAACGAAATGGAGAAATTTGGATTTTCTTTTCTCGTCTCTTTCTTCATTAACTGGTTAATTTTTTTTGGATTAGATAAACTTTTAATTGATTTCTTTAAGCATCATTTAAAAATTGAGGATAAAAAAGGCAACATGAGAAAACAGAGGAGAGAAAAAGTGGAAAAATGATCCTTTGTTATAAGAGCTGAATTTTAGCAATCAGTCCCTGTATGGAGAGAAATTCGGTCCATTATTATTGACAGCCAAGAACAGCTTATAGAAAAAATCCCATTAAAAAAAGGTTTTAGAGTGATTTATGGAAAAAGTTCAAACTATGTTTCTAGAGTTTTCTGTTTTGTTTTTTTTTTAGATTTTATTTGCATAAATGTTGTTAAATATTTTTCCAGATTTGTGTTAAAGTTTGGTGTTTTTTTCCCAATTTTTGGGGAGTCTAATTGATCAGTCCTGATTTCCTTTACTTTGGGAGATCTGTGATCAGGAGACAGAACAAAACTGATCCCATCCACCTCTGACAATCGGCCAGTCAATGCTCTAGAGCGGGGGTAACGAATTAAAAATCAGCAGTAAATCATCAACCAGTAAAGGTTCGGAGACATTTTCAATTATAATCTGTTACTTTTAACAGAATTTCACACTGAAATAAAATGAGTTTTTTTGCATCCATTGAATTTTTAAATAAAAAAATATTATTAAAAAAATTTGAATATTTTTCCATTTTAAAATCTAAAGTGTTTTTGAAGTAGAGAACAACAGCCTTTCAGTTTGGTATATAGACAATTTCCTGATTCACATATTTTATAAAACACCTGAACGGATCGTCATTTTTCGTTTTTCTGTCTTAATGAGAGCAGTGGGCTTTATGCTGCCCTGCAAGGCTTTAAACCTGGTTTGAATGGAGACAAAGCCATTCTATAGAACATATCAAGATAGGGGTGTAAATCACATCCATCATGGCGATTCGATTCAGTATCGATTTCCTGACCCAACGATTCGATTATTTTCGATACTCAGGAATACATCACGATTCGATTCGATTACTTGGTTCATTTTTTTTTTTTTTACACCTTACAGGCTAGACAATGTTTCAAATTTGAAATAAATCAATGAGCTGTAATATCGTTATGCATTTTTTTGAGAAACTACAGAAAATAACAGAAGTAGAAAAGTTGCACTCCATCTATTCCTATTAAAACCTCCTTCACTGAAAAATAATAATCCCCCTGCGTTATAGATTCTGAAAGCCTTTGCATCAAAAAATACTGCAGAAAATCAGTGCAATGAGTGCAATGCAATACCTCGGCTCCAGACGTCCCGCCCCCTCCACAGACGCTCCACTGCACCTCTCCCTGATTGTAACTGACCACGAACAGTGCCGCAGACAGGAGGCCGGCTTGTTTTGTTTTTATGACCGAAATTGCGGAAAACAACTCGTGAAGTTTGACCCGCTAGAAGAGCGAGGTGCGCGAGAACGCTGGGACCCTTTTTCCACCTGGATCTCCGCTCTTTTTGGCCCTCATGCCCTCATGATTTTTTAATATATCATTATTAACTTAAGTGTTGATTTCCGGATGTTTTGCTCCTGAATTGAATAATGATTATAGAGTCCGGCTCTGGACCGCGGTCCGCTAATCTGTGACCTCTGATCTAAACCTTTCATTTATATTTAAAGACCTGTAACCTCTAATCCTTTTGATCCTGTTTTACAGATTTCACCCTCTACACTTCTACAGGCCGACAGAAATGTTGCGACAGAAAAAAATAAAAACTTATTTGAGAAAATTAAGTCTGACAAATAAAACCTTGATAAATCAGGTTTAACTTTTTAACTCAGGTTTTCCAAAATGTGCTTTTTGCTCTCAGTAATAGTGGAATATATTTCTCTCTTCATCTGCTCACCCCGTGTTCGCCCTGCTGATGATGATGAGGATGGCTGTGATGATGATGATGTCTGTGGAGCGACTCCTCCTGGTCAAACTGAGCCTGAAACAAACAAAGGGAAACAGGAAGTGGGTTCCACGGTTCCAGGTGAGCCGTTAGCCTCTGAGGCAGGAAGCAGCGCTGACCTGCAGGCTCCGCGCCAGCGCCTCGTCTTCCACCATCTGTAACGAGCGAACCATGGCCTCCTCATCGTCGCTGATGACAATCTGTTCCTGGACGCCTGCAGCAGAAACAGCCAATCAGAGGCGCCGTACCAAAGCACAGTAGCCACGGCTGCGGTTGGATGTCCTGACCTGGTGAGGCGTCTCCCTGTCCTTCGTTCAACCATCTCCTCTCCTCGTCGGTGAGGAAGGACAGCGAGCCGGAGCTCGATGACGCCGCTGCAGAGGGAGACGCTGAAGCTGCCGTGTGATTCAGCTTTGACCTGAGAGCCGAGTCCGGCGTGAGGCAGGAGGTAGACGATGAAGACGAGGTAGAAGAGGATGATGAGGAGGAGGAGGAGGATGATGATGATGGGGCCTGCAGCCAGCTGCCCAGAGGGAAAGTCTGGAGAGTCGACGCCGGAACGAAGCTGACGTTCGGGTCCACCACCCGCCGCCGTTTGGATTTACGGAGAAAACGCTGATCTCCCTTTTTGGACTTCTCTGGTCTGGGAAAGTCATCAATCACCTGAGATCCAGAAACACAGAGTGAGCCCACAGAGAGCGCCGACCCAGCAAGAAACGGTTCATAAGAGACCGGCGGACTCACCGGGCTGTAGTGGTCCTCGGTCGTACGCCGCGGTCGCCTCCGTTTGCCGAGCTTTGGGCTGAAAGAGAAGCAGACAGAACCAAGGGTTTGGTTCGACATGTTGAGATGAGATGGAAATGTTTTAATTTCATCATTCCTCAACAAATCCTCTCTGCATCCCAGACAAACAAGGTGGAATCTAAAAGGAAATAAATATCTGCATGGCTCTGGGTCAGTCTCTCCTTTAAAGCGCTGAAGAGACGATCCATCTCCTCCAGAATTCACCAGGTGGAAAGAAGACGTGCTTAGAATAAAGTCACTGTAAAGATGAAAGTGAAAATAAAGTTTTGAAAAAGCCGGGGGAAGTTTCACTGAATGAGATCAATGAATAGAGACCTGAGATGTTTTTATTGGTGGGAAAAGTAACGTGATTTCATATTTCCTCCTTTTTGTCACTGTGATTCAATTCAATTCAGTTTATTTATATAGCGCCAATTCACAACACAACAGTGAGGAACTACTTTGTTACTTCCTGGTTCCAATCAGGGTTCCCAGGAAGCCAGCAGGAGAAGGGACCAAAAATAGTCTTAACACCAAAGAATCAGAGGTGGGAGATGAGGAGCCATGAAGTCATCTTTATGTCATGAGTTGGTTGATTCAGAGGCTGGACAGAACAAACACGACACGGAAATGACTTGATTGGGTCCACATCGACCATCTCTGCCCTGAACATCCTAAGAAGGGTTTCCTGAGGTGGAATCATCTTCTTCTCTAGTCGTCTGGAATTTCAATTCTATTCAGTTTATTTCTGTAGCCCCAATTCACAACATGTCGTCTCAAGGCACTTTCCAGTTCACCCAGATCATCCAGTCAGATTGATTCAAAGTTTTCTATCTAAGGAAAACCAGCTGATTGCATCGACTCATTGACTCGAATGCAATCTGTCACACTAATAATGCTTGTAGCAACAGTGATGATCCATACGTATAAAATCTGTTCATTCTGTGTGATGGAAACAGATGCTGTGAAGCTGTCGGTTCATGTTTAAGGATGTGAATAACTAAAACTATTAATTATTAAACAAAAGCTGGAAGGTAACCTGAAAAAGAGAATTTCATCAGAGAGCTGATAGAACCTTAGAGCTGGATCAGCTCCTCCAGAACCCTCCTCTCGGTTCGGCTTTCAGGCCCGAGATTTCAGCTGACAGCTTCCATATTCTGTCAAGATCTATGAAATTTGAGATTTTGGACTAAGGAATAGAAAAACAACAGTTTTTGTGAGAGGCTGCTAGGAACCGAGCGCCTAATGATCCAATAAAAACGGTTCTGATTGTTCTGTTCTTAATGCAAGAGCTTCAACAGGAAGAAATGACAGGTTAAAAGATGAGTATAGAGTCAGTGATCTGAACCACAGATCTGTGACCCAGAAGCAGCTGCTGATGGAGATGGGTCCAACGGAAGCTGACTCCAGCTGGAGAAAGTGAAACCATGCAGGTGTGAGTCTGGTCAGGGTTCTGGTGCCTCCACAGGTGTGGAAAGGTGTGTTTGTACCTGGGGGTTTCTGGGACGATGATGGACAGATCATGGAGGAGGGCCTCTTCGGGATCCAGCAAACATCCTCGGTTCAGACCGTCGGGACTGTCCGGTTCTGAAGACCCGGGGCTGGCAGGATACCCCTCAGCCATCACGTGATCCAGTAGCAACAAACAAACCAGTCCCCAAATTGACCAATCACCTCTGATCGAGGCTCATATCAGCCTGACCGTGATGATGATGAAGTTCAAGCCGCCTGTAGAAAAGAAACAGTCTTAATCTGGAATAAATCCTGGATTATCAGATGATCTAAAGCCTCGAACATCACTGTTAAATCTAACAGGAAAATATTTCAAGCTGAACTAAAGGTAGCCTTACTGTTAGCTAACAAAGCTAATAATGATTCTAGATAAAGTGGCCAATTAAAACCTCAAAGATCAATTAAACATTACTGATCTCACCGCTGCTGCAAACAATGGGAGAAATAAAGAGGATTTTACCTTAAAGTTCTGCTCTTTTCGGTTTGTTAGCTTACACACAGCCAGGAGACCGCCGTTTAGCTCACAACAGAGAGACTTTCAAAATAAGGTTGGTCACTTCCGGTAAGAAATATAGAAAGTCCCGAAAAATCCCCCTTCACAATAAGGGTTTCAATATGAAACATTTAAAAAAAAACAAGAAGAAAACAAACACTACCTTGCTGTTTACTACGTAAGAGGGCCACTGAAAAAAATAAAAAAGTTAATTGATTTTAAAATTTTATTTCATTTTATTATGGGAAAAAAATTCAGAAATCTGAGATTAAAGTCAGAATTCTGAGTTTAAAGTCAGATTCTTAAAATAAAGTCAGAAATCTGAGATTCAAGTCAGAATTCTGAGGAAAAAAGTCTGAATTCTGAGCAAAAAGTCAGAATTCTGACCGTTTTCCCATTTTAAACTGAAATAAAATCTAAAAATCAGTTAACTTTTCTTATTTTTCCAGCAGCCCTAAACCTCTTTTGTAGTTTTCTACTAAATCTGCAATTACTTATTTATAAAACGCTCTAAGGACTTAATTACTCTAAAACAAACGATTATTTACACCAACTACAGTTTTTTTTTTTATCGCTAAGAAGCGCTTACTCATACTTCAGATACTTTTCCCAAACTCTTGACCCAGACTCACACCTACAAAACACAAATGGCCATATGGATCATTTTCTTCTCAAAAAACACATTTTCTAAAAATTATACTAACTCTTCATTTCAAAATAGAACACATTTTTTTTTCTGCACACACTATCTTTACCAAAACACTGGAAATCTGACTCAAAACGAAATTATTCTGTTAAAGAATCACATTTGTTTTCATTTCCCAAAGTACATGCAGTCAATCAAAGTACACCAGGTTTCAAAATACTGGCTGTTGTTGACATTAGAAAAACTACATTTAGGTTTCAGTTTTACAGATATTTGCATGCAAAACATGCATTCACCTGTTTTTATACTAAATTTGCTGGGTGGTAACGTGTGTCCAAATATATAGTAATGTTCACATTCAAAGCATTCCAGTAAAAAGCGAATCCGTTTTTTTTTTTTTTAGAGGTAGAGTAGAAACACGGTTTGATAGAACAGAAAAAAAGTTTTACAGCAATTCTCACAGTGAACAACATATCCATTCAACACACAAGATCATTGTGAACAAAAAAAAAAACAACTGCAACAAATCCAGATAAATATTGGGGGAACTAAAAAAATAAAAAGCCAAACATTGCTATATCTAATCTCTGCGATCTCCAGGGTTAGGCCACATGTTTTTGTCAACATCACATCTGATATTATCCAAGGTAACGCACCTGGGATAAAACTAGAAAAGATTAGATACACTATGAGAGGATCTATATCTAAATTTAATTCAACTTAGGAACCATTTATAAACTTTGTGGAGAAATTAGATGCTCAATTAATTCGTTGTTGATATAAACTTTAACACTAACCCCCTCCCCTTTTTAAGCTATCTTAATTTATTTATTTAATATCATTATTTTTATACTATTTCTTCTTATTCTACTCTGGGTTATATCCATCTCCTGACTGACGCCGGACGGGGCGGGACTACGGGGCAGGTGGGTGATGATAACTACAGTACATGTGTACACTCAAAATAAAATAAACCCTGGTTTAAAAAAACAAAACAAATGCTCGATATGTCGGATCCACCCGTGACAATCCTGATCTATGATGTCCCTGCAGCCAGCATCCATCGCTTCAAGCAGGGACATCTGGTCATGTGGCTGATGGTCAGAAACCTTCCACCTCCATGCTGAAAATAACTCCTGTATGGGGCTGAGGAGAGGTGAATAGGGTGGAAGGAAGAGACTTAGCAATGTTTGAACTTCAAACCATGTTGTTGTTGCTTGCGAATCACGGAAAGCCACATTGTCCCTGGTAATTACACACTGGAAAAAAAAAAATCGAAATCTAGATTTCATTTTATTTTTAAAATAAGTGCATTTGTTCTTAAATTGAGGAGGTTAAAGAGACATTTTGGAACAAGACAATTTACACTTAGAATAAGAAAACACAATTGGATTTTCTTATTTCAAGTGCGTTTTATAAAATTATTTTAAGAGTAAAAATACTCATTCCATCTCATTTACCTACTCAAATTAAGGGTACATACACTTAATTTAAGACATTTTCACTTTTTTCTAGATTGTTCTTCCAGTGCAAAGGTCCGGGAGATCGGATAAAAAAATCACTTGAAAACTATTTTCTAATTGTTTCACCAAAAATAAAAACCCATCAAGATAAGAAGTTTCAGAAAATGCACATTTATTTAAACTTAAGTCATCTGTGAAAAAAGACAAATTTTTCAAAAGAACAAAGCCCACTTTACATTGAATTTAGTTAAAACACATCTGGATCCATGTTTTGTCAAAAACTGCTTTTGAATCATGAGGTGTAATCTTACAGATAACCACTATGTTTACAAATAGAAATAAAACCTCACAGCAAATTCGACTGAAACATGTTTATTTTCACATTAAACTCAGTGACTCAAGTGAGTCAACCTTTAACAAGATGAATGAAGAAAGGAACAGCACTCCCTGTAGCAACTGAAACGAAAGATCAGAGCTGGAACAGACCTTAAATATCTATTTTCCTATTTTCCAAACAAAAACTAAAGTTGAGAAGTGAATCTGAACTGCTACTGTAAGAACGAATAAAGTTGCAGCAATAACATCCAAAACAAGAGAACAGTCATGGTGACGACAGCAGATCAGAAAAGCATGGACTGCAGAGACTTGCGGACCGTGGCCATTTCCTGCTGCTGCTGTGGAAACAAACAACAATGTGGCATCAGAACATAAGAGGTCCAATCATTTCATCTACTAATCTACTACTCCCCCCCAAACATACTGACTCTCTATTAGTTTCCAGAACAATAAAAGCTTTTTGAGGAAACACACCTCCCTCTAAATGCATGTTGATTCAACAGGTCATCCGCATCACAGCATTTTGTTTAAATCGGCTCAATGTCTGTGGGGTTTTTTTTTCTCTGGAACTTCTTTTCTTTGGCGCACCATACCATGACTGCTTGCTTTCAACCCAAACTGCTCAAAGAGCCATATTGGAAGCAAAAAAATAAAAATAAATAAATCTGTCTGGAGCCACAAAAATCTAAGTCTATTTATTTAAGCCTCGTATGGCTAAATGTATTATCCCGCTATAGAAAAGGACTATGTGGGCTTAAATATATAATAAGCATTCATGATTAAATGTTTATCCTGGAGCAAATGTCACACAGCAGCATAAGGTGAGGGAGGGGCAGTGAACGCTCTCACCGCGCTGCTTCACCGTGCATGTTAGGTTTTGTTGCATTGATGAAATTATAGAAAGACGTTAAAGGAATCTCTCTATGGTGGACGTGTTTCTCTTGGGAGGAGTTGATTGAGTCATGAGGAACCGAGCAGGAACTGACATCCATCTAACCATCAAATCCCACATCCTCCGTCACCATCGTTCCTTGGTGTGATTTATATTTTTACAATTTGTGGAAAAAAATGGAAGAAAGTTCCCATCCCTGCATCAGAGCGTTACCTGTTCGACCTGTGGACGGTTTTTCATCCTTGCAACCAAACTAGCAGCAGTAGTGGAGTTTGGAAATGCAATCTACTTCTTAAATCTAACTTTGCTCTCCTCTAATTTATCCGGAAGTTCTGCAATCGCAAAAAAAGCAAAAAAAAAAAAAAAAGCAATACAGTCCATTCGTTGAATCCCCTTTACTCATCAGCTATCTTCCTTTTTTCCCACCTCTTCCTTTGCCTGGCACCGCGCCTCGCTGGTTACAAGTTATGACAGCTGATCTCTATGGCTATGACGCAAATAAACTTTTTAGTATATTTATTATACAAATGTTTACAGCATTGGAAAACATAATTCGATTCGATTTTCATAAATTTTTAAAAAGCTCCAGGGAGCCGCAAGGCGGGGAAGCTAAAGATCCGCATTCGGCTCCAGAGCCACGGGTTGCCGACCCCCATGTAAAAAGAACGCAATGGCTTCTGCTCAAAGTTCACACTAAGTGGCGCTTTGGCAGTGACAGAAAGAAAAATGCTATCGTTATAAAGCATTGGTCTTTCTGTATGACGAAACCCTGCGGTTTCTTCGTACAGTGCGAGCTGTAGCTGCGTGCAACGACTGAAAAAAATTGAACAGTATATACCCGGCTTTATCAGGATTTTTCTGGAGGGTGGTGTATTTTAAAAGTTAATGTGATAACATGAGCAGGCGGGTGGGGCTAACTTTGATCCTGCTGCAGGATAAAGAGGCTGGAGCTGCTCATCCAGAATGCAGCAAATCAATAGCAACACCTCATCAAAGTCAGTTCCATCTTTTATCATATTGACTTTAGAGTCAAAGAAAAGCAGCCGATCAGAAGTCAGGGTTTCTATGAAGGCGGCCCGCCTCCTTTTTTTAATAAAATCATTCTCTATTTATTTCCAGTTTTAATAAATGAATGAAACATTTAATGAATTATTTTATAACTTATGTAACTATTGTTTTGTAGTACTGATCTTCCCCCATAGATCTTGGGCTTATTTTTAAATCATACATAATTTTGCATATTACAACATTTCAGAAACCAAAATGGTTTAAACCCCAAACGGGCTGAACTCACTGTGTCCATGAGAATCTTCTTCTGCAGGGAGGCCATCTCCTTCCTCAGCTCCTGCTGCGTTCCCTGCAGAAACATCTCGTGGCTCTTCTCCACCTCCTCCATGTTCTGAAGGCAAGAGGAGAAAACTGAATCTTTTCTTTCTAATTCCCAGAGGATTTCCTCTCAGACAAACGTTCCAAGGTTCATTCCAGTCACACACCGACTTTAAGCTCTTCTTTAGCCAGTTGATGTTCATCATCTGTCACTTTAATTTCATTTATTAACCAATAAAATGATCATTAAAATATTCATTAACTAGAACACAGCAGAAATTCACTAAAAAGAATTTAAAACACTGAAGTTCTGATCAGAATTAAGAGGAGATCATATTTTCAGGCCTTGACCAATTTTTTACTGGCTTTCAGTTTAACCCAGAAAAAAATCTAAAAAATGTACCTTCTTTCATGGAAAGCCAATCGTAATCGACAGAAGGAGAACAGGAAGCAGATCTGTTAATGATCAGCCTCCTAGAACCAACGTCCAGTTTGTTGGTTTTATTTTTTTGAGTTTTTACGGCACTAGTGGCTCGTTTTTTCTGACAGTAGGCTGACAGGAAAGAGGGTATGAGAGAGGAAGAGGAAGCAAAGGATCAAAAAACCCGGGTCGGCCGCATTGAGGACTAAGGCCTCTGTACATGGGTCATGCACACTAACCATTGCGCCACCTGCACCCCCATTGTCGAGTTCTAATCCACTTCCTGTTTGGTGATGCTACTAGTTCGAGGCTCAGGTTATCCTGACCTATTAGGGCTGAATGGCTTATAAATCTTAATAACTTTTATTGATAAATCCTTCAGCCCTATGATCTATCTCTATGCTGCTATCTGTCTCAGTGCTACTTTCTACTCATTCATACATTATTTTCTCTCCATAGAAGCTGCATTCAGACCAAAGGTTCTGTTTGACTCAGACTGTCTCCCTGAGGAACCATCAGCTGAGATACCGGTTCCACTAACTTCTCTTTAAATTAAAACCTGACTCACGGTCTCTGAGCTAATTGTTCTCCTAACTAAAGTCATTAATCCAGCAGCTGCTACCAACATGAAATCCATCCCTGCATCAGTGCCTCTCAGACCACCAGTAGGACGTGGTTCTCTAAGCTTGGCTCTACTGGAGGTTTCTTTCTGGTAAAAGGGAGTTCTTCCTTTCCTCTGTTGCTTTATGCAACTTTTCTGTATGCAGCATTGTGGAAAAGCTGGAGCCGTAAAGGGAAGCTTGACTGACTCCGGTTTGAAACGTTGAAACGAGATAAAGGTGGGTCTTTTCTCTCCATCTTAAGCCTTGAAAAGGCTGGCATAAGTTCTCCTACCTGACTTAACTGGAAGAAAATATTTTGCAAGCAACTCTGATCTACTTATGAAATAAAATCCCCTTAGATGAAGATTGTTTTGTAAACATGAAACGACCCACCTGCAGAAACTGCTCGTACAGCTCTCTGACAGCTTTCAGCTTCTGGTTCTGCACAGCTCGGGCCTGCTGCAGGATTTTCAGCTGCTGCCGGAACAAATTCTGTGAACACAGGAAGCAGAAATCAGAGGGTTTTGTTGAAACAAGCCAACTTTTTTTTTCTGGCGCAATAAAATTATCCACATAATGGAGAGAAGCGTAGATGCAATTTTCAAACACATTTTCTACAAACACCTCAAAAGATATGTTGCTCTGTTTAGGTTTTCTTCGATATTCTTTTGCATCTCTGGTCTTTCTTAGCAGAACCGATGAAAAGTTCTTACAAACATCATTCTGTCCTACTTCCTGCTGGCTAAAGAGGAACCATGGAGAGCAATGCAATCTGCTGGAGTTCAATACCACACAGGCAAGAGATGCATTAACTGGTGAAGTAGACATATTTAAAAACAACCTAATACGCTGGACCGACGCCACGTTTATGTTTGAAATGATGTAGAAAAAGCTCCATCTGCTGTGTCTCAGCTGAACATGATCCACGGTTGAAGTCTGTGTAGGGGTTTCAGAGGCTGCATCCTCCAAGGACTCGGTCTATCTATACCGGGTCCTTGGAGGTCCATAAAAATAAGGAGGCCCAGAAACTTTGGCTATAGATTAAAACAGGTCCAGCCTTTCCCGGCTTTCACCAACTACACGCTCTGTCGCCTAGCAACTGTGAGTGTTGACACACAAAACAAGAAAAAAAATGGATACCGAACTTCTCACTACTGTTCTGGGTGCCAATAACATTTCTGAGCAGTTTCACCAGCAGTACCGTCATCAGGGACATCAGATTTATAGTCATCACACTGCAAAGTTATTGGAATCTGAGCTGAAATGTCATCCAAACCCATTTACACAGATAAAAACCTTTCAATAAACCAAACATTACCCACCTCATATCTGACTCAATAACCATTTATTACATCTATTCTCATTAATTTCAGATGGAACTATTCACGTAATTGTATTATATTAAACTGCACTTAAAATATTCACCAACGTTCTGCAGTATTTTTAGTTTTCCTCTGAGCACGGTGCATCCGGCTTGCTTGGACTCGCAATGAATCACAGGATACCCAAGACTACATAGGATACACATGTCCTTTAAAACAGGCAAAAAGAAGGAGGCATTTGTCGACCGCATAACAAGGAGTCCTCCAACAGGCCTTGGCGCCGCGCTATGAATCTGGCCTTCGGAGGAAGCAGTAGCTGGATTCGGCTCCAAAATGCAAAGATCTGGTCACATGTCACCTAGTTTTTCAATAGTGCAACTGAAAATATGCTTAAGTTTGAAACAGATCAGCCAGCTGCTCAAAGAAAATGTAAAAAGTAATTGCTGCCATGTTGAAAGGGGCGCTAGACAACAACAAAGCTGCTGGGATGACAAAAAGAGCTGTGAGGGTGCCATCAGCCCCGCTGCAGTGAAACCAAATATGAGTTTGTTTTTGTTTTTTTCAAAGTAAAAGCCCAGATTTGGTGTCCGATGTAAAATCACATTGAATGAGGTCATGATTAAGATGCAGGGGCTGCTCAGATTCTCTGCAGCCCTGCTGCTAAGTTCTGACCGAGGTCGGCCTGGGTGGAGTCTGTTTGGGTCGGATCTACGCAGACAGCAATGTTATGATCCTGACAGGAAGTGCGAAACGCAGAAAAGGCAAAGTAAAACATATCCGCTTTGAGAAGATAGTCTCTGAATGGTAAAATAAACCAGCCAGGTTTGATCGGTTTGATAACAGAGGTTGAGTTTATAGTAGACTGAGATAGACTATGAATAAAACATTTAAAAAAACTTAGAAAAAGAAAAAAAAGGGGGCCTACCCGGCATGCTTAGAGGGAAGCATGAGGGGCACATATGGAGCTAAATTTGGGCCAGTGTTCTGGGGGGGGAGAAGACTTCTTCAGGTTTAGATTTTTCTTTTTAACAAACAACTTGCTGAAAAAATATTAGTATTGGGGGAAAAAATAAATAAAAAAAGACCATAAACTTGAGAGAATTTTTTCCCCCCAACACTACTTCTGATGAATCTGAAGTAGCCATAACAGGACCAGAAGTTTGAAGCCAAAAAATAAATAAATAAATTTGACGTGTTTTACAATTAAACTGTGTCAGAGATACCGAGTACAAGTCATCTCTATGCCAGATATTTGTTCCGCCCAGCCACTACATTAGGCGAGTCTTATTTGTTAAATTGTTCAGATTGGACTCAGTGGCTAGGCAGAACAAATGCATGACGTGGAGATGTTGACTCCCCGTCCCCTATGTCTGCGTTGTATACATTTCATAAAACCATCCTGGGATATTTTTGACCAAGTGAGAAAAAAACTAACATTGAGCTTCTCCTCCTGCTCCTCAGCTCGCTGAGCCTCAACCTCCCACTGCTGCAGTGCACAGGAGACCTGCTGCTGGTACTGCTGAGTCGTCTTCTTCCTGCACAAAGAGGTGTTAAAAAACATTTGAATTGATTCTCATATTAACTCCTAAAGACTGATTCTTTTAACCAAGGATCGATTTTTACAATGTTAGGTTAATTATCATTGAAGATGTGTGAGTTTATCACACCCTGGTATTGGCTGTCTGTTGCTCTAGAACTGACGTTTTAATCTAATTAAGACAGTTCCTCTGTCTGGATATACAGTTATAATCTTAATTTGTATGTGGCAAAGATTTGGAAATGGAATGAGAACGTTGTCCTATTTTCATAAGGCTGGAGCCATGGATGTCTAATCATCTGCTAACATGTATGATGTAAAATAAGATGATGTAGACTGGAGATGTATAAAATGCCTTTTTAACTGTTAATCGGGGCCACTTCCTGAGAGGTGAACAGCTGCCTTCTGTAATTCTAAGCTATTTCTCTGATCTGAGTAAGATTACAAGTTCTATCAGAATCTGTTGTCATGTCTCCTGGTTATTTAATGCATACAAGTTAGGAAGTGTTATTTAAAAAGTTTGTACTGAGTGATCTCTTTTCAGGGAAAATAACCGGAGAGATAGAGCATTAGGGTACATACACAGAGCCTGTCTTTAACAACAAAAAGCCTCTTCCTGTTCATTCAGCTTTCAGTAACTATTATCATTTTATTTTCTGTTGAATGTAAATATAATTCCAGTATCAATATACTGCAGAACGACTCAGTCAAGTAATTCAGGTAATGGCTAAAAATGTTTTAGGTTCCAATTATCCGATTTTAAAGTTGTAGGGAAGCGGCTGTTCCAACCGTTGCATTTCCAAATTCTCCCGTGTGGGGCACGACTTTACCCGAATAAAGTGAATGCGATTGGTCGATTATCAAGGGGGCGGGATTGTTGTGGTGGAAGATTTGCAAGCCAGTTTGGTTGTGGTCGGTGTCTCGGAACCATCTTGCTAACCAGTTAGAAACTTGGTGCTAGTAGGTTCCCAATGGGAAATTCCATTGGGACCAAGTAGCACTAAA